GCCGCAAGCGCTGAGAGGGGGAAAAGGGGTGGTTTGGCAAGACCTTTGAGGGGGGTATGTTCTACCCCTCCGTCCACCATTGACCCTCCTTCCTGGGTGCTGGGTCCAATAGCCATTCAAATGGGAACTATATCATGGACATGGACAGATTCGATCATGGCAAACATAGTGTGACTTCGCTTCGGTGAGAATAGATTCAGCGATCCCGAATCTATGCGACTTGAAAACCGATTTAAATGCAAGTGGGAATGAGCCTATTGTTTCTAGTATCATTTTATTGTTTACACAACCAATGAAGTTTCTCTTTTCACTCTTCTGTCTCTTTGTATGAAATATTGGATGACTCCCTTTTAACTGCTGCAAACAATCCAGTACGAGGTTGACACGTTCTTACAATCAATTGATTTCTTCTTCTTTTTTTCCCCTAATGTTGTTGACAGAGAAAAAAGGAAGAGAAAACACAAATCTAAGACCAAAACAATCAATATGGCAACAGTAGCAGCAAGGTCATTCAGTTAGATTACTAAGCAATCACTAGGTGTGTTTTACACACATGTAAGTTTCCTTGCACTTGCACATTTTTGGACATGGCATATTGGTTGTGTTCAGTTCACAGTTGTGTAATTGGAGTTGGGCAAGTATAAACATTTCACATGCAGTTCTATATTCTTTTGGATGGTGCATACATACCTTACAATTGTCCTGATTTGGAGGGACTGTCCTGATTAATCCTCTGTCATCCCATTTTTTCAGCTGTTTTTAAAATGTCCCAGTTTCTCTCTGTACCACCTTCCCCCTTTGTCCTCAACATCCTTCAATTGCTGAAAACTGAATCTTTCCCCTCCCAGTAGGAGGCTCAAGCAAAAGCGAACTACTGCATCCTCTCCTAGCATGTCTGTTCTTCCTCATTCATAACTTTTGCCATCTTGGCCACACTCTGATGTGCCCCAGATTTCATTTGTGAAATGCAGGATAGTATGTGTATAGCTAGCTACTCATCAGTGCCTTCATGTGTCACTTCATTCATGGGTCACCAGAAACAGCAAACACATTCTCACATGCACAATCGATGGCATCTTGTTGGTATTCAGCAGAACAGGCGGAGTAATGAAATTACCAAGGCATTTGTAAAGTAATAGTTGTGTGTCCAGTCCTGGCTTTTTGGTGGAAGCAAATGGACCCACAAAATTTAATCAGGGAACTGTATGGTTTCCACTCTTATTTCAGTGCCTTCTTCCTGTTACTACAAGCTAAAAATAAAAATAATCCTCATGGATGGATGGATAGATGGATGGCGGAATGCCAAATTAGTTGTGTTTTTAACTACTTTAAGATTTGGTAAGATTTTAGGGATTTTCCTTCTGATTCACTCAGGTGTTTTCTGGTACTAGGTAGAAAAATTAAAATTTCTGAAATATTGATAGCTGAGATCCTGCATCATACCTTTGTTCTGCAAATAATAATAATAATAATAATAATAATAATAATTTATTTTTATCCCACCCCTCTGCAACGCAATCGCACACTCTCATAGTTCTATGGTGTTTGCACAATACCCCCTTCTGCTGAATAACAACACTGTGCAACCAATAGCATATCTGTAAATGTACTTGTGTGGCGTAGTGGTTTGAGTGTTGGACCACTACTTTTTTAAAGTAATAGTTGTGTGAACAAATGCAGATTTGTTCAGAGAAGGTTTGTCATTGCCTTTGCCTGAGGCTGAGAGCATGTGAATTGCCCAAGGTCACCCAATGGTTTCATTGCCGAGCTGGAAATCGAACCCTGATCTCCGGAGTCATAGTCCAGCACTCAAACCACTACGCCATGCTGGCTCTCAACTTCAACCTTAAATCACTATATTATTTTGGAAATGTAAAAGCATGTTACATGTCCATTGGCCCAAAAAAGTAACTAGTAACATGCAGTATTATTTATTTATTTATATTGTTCTTATACCTCTCTGAGCAGCTTACAAATAATACCTGGTGGCTTCCATGTCAGAAAGGGGCAGCGTATCCACTCTGGGTTTAAGTCAGAACTGTGGAATGAGTTATCCAGAGCACTGGACCCTAAATAGGTTCACCACCTGGGCTAGCTCCTTTAAAGTTTGGAGTAAAACCCAGAACAGAATCACTA